TAACTGGAGTAAAGTTTTTGGTTTCGATTCCCTGGTTTTATTTTCTCTATCACTATCATCAATTGGTTCATGAAGCATAGACAGTTCTTTTATTAAACCTTGCACTTTTTCAGATTCCATAGATTTCGTTTTACTTTGGGGGATAGCTCTACCATCATCTACAGATAATTTACTTATCTCTTCTGTTAGATTAGAGATTTCTTCACTTTCACCTTCTACTGCCTCTGTCATATCTATGTCCTGAACTTCAGCTGACACCGGTCCTTTATTATCTACAAAACAAATGGGGCAAGTTTTTTGCTTATCTCTGTTACTTTTTTCAAGGCAGTCGTGATGGAGAGTATGACCACACACTAACATAGTAAATGCTTTGGGCAGATTTAAAAAAATTTCTTCATTACATTTATGACAATTCTCTAGCTCTGGTATTGTAATATTGTTTGCAAGAGAATTTGGATAACTTTTTAGAATATTTATTCCTAAGGATTTTAATAACTCTAATCATTTAGGGTATTTTTTAGCAAGTTCTCTTTTGCTAAGTGGTTCAAGACTCATAGTATAGAATATGCTAAGCTGGTTTACGAAGAAAAAAATTTTCTTATCATTTTACTTTTACCTAACTATATACTATTTTCATATTGTTTGGGATTATTTGCTAGATAAGAGCAAATGAATATAATATCCAAATCAGTACAATTACCTGAATTTTAGTCAGATAAGTATTTGCAATTTATTATTAACTTATCTCATTATATAATATACTCCTCGTTATTAACAAACCAAATTTAGATACTATGAAAACTAATTTTGGATTTGGCGATCGGGTTCATTCACGAATTATTTAGTATGGGGAGGGATCGCCCGATCTTATTTATATTTTCGCTAATAATTCATCAATATCCCAATCTTCATAAATATTTCCCCAAGGAATTATTTCATCTGCAATCTGTTGTATGTTATATTAATGATTTCCCTTTTCTGCTTATAAAGCATTCCATTGGTAAGCATATACCTTTCAATCTCTACTTGTTTTTTAGCGGTCTCAAGTAGCTTTGTATGATATTTAAGCTTCATACCATATTCCATATATCTTTGAAGTTCCTCATTATCTGAATATTGTTTTAGTGCTTTTTTTATTTTCTCATCTTTTTCAAGCTCTAATTTATAACTTTTTAA